AAAATAACCTTTCAAGGTCACCTCGTCATAGTATGACGTTGGTTCAGCACAGATACGAAAACAACTAAACTGGGAAGAGCTTGCCTCAAGGCGTCAAAGGCACTTAAGTCTATTAGTGTATGATACAGTGAATGGAGATATACCTAGTTACTTAAGCGATCTATTCTCGAATGTCTGTGAGAACAACCCTTATAAGTCTATGCTATGAAATACGGAATATAATGTTGTACCGGACCACGTTCCAAAAACAAAATATTATAAAGGGTTTTTCTCATACAGAGGAGGAATGCTGTGAAATTCATTACCAAATGAGATAAAAGAGTCCGAATCTAAAGCTATCTTTAAAAGAAAACTGGCTGGTAGGCAGGCAAACTGTTGACTACATTTTACTATAGTTTATTATTTGTACATCTTTTTAGTGTAGTTGTACGGTATTTACTTCTGTTTCTATACGGCCTTCATGTAAAGAAGTTATGTAACTTAAGAAATTACCGTATTCAAATAAAAGTGAATCAATCAATCAATCAGCTTTTTGTCCCAGGAAACATTGAGATTCAAGAAATGACAGTTTCCTAGGGGAATAGTTGTCCGTTCCTCAAAAGTTCTGGAAACGTTTTGGGCCTGAAATCAAATATTTAATGATTCAAATTCTTTTAAAAGAAAGAAAGTGCACGTCCTAGCTTACAAACGGTTGGAACCAGTAAGTCCATTTTCTCTTGTTGACTGATAGTTTTATCACATTATCATGCTGAAAAACTACTGAAACCCTTATCTTGAATGGGCCCATTAATTATTGGGACTTTCAAGAAACGGGTCCCAGATAAGTGCATGGTCATGGAGCCACAGGAAAATAAACAAACAAACAAACAACAATTTTTATTAATAGACTCCTATCCTGCACAAACAACACTGGACAAATTGCTAAATTGTATCTTATGCCGGTTACCGTTGAATTTGGCGGCTACATAAACATTTATCGTTTAATAACAGTAATAATGAATTGTTATATGGATGAGGCCTAGATAATACGATAAAGAAGAAAGAATTAAACAAATAACAAATTGTACAAGTAGAGACGAACTAACAAGAATTTATTTTTGGATATTTTTAGCTAATTTTACCTTTTTTTAATTAAGGTGAGTGTAATAGTCATCTTATGAATCAAAATTTTGAATTCAATTCTCCCTACTTTGTTCTCAACAGAGTTTTAACTAGAAGCGTTATAAACCAATATAAAATTAATATACTTATGTAAAACAGTACCATTCATGTTAAAAGATGTAACAGAAAAAAAGAGCCCAATATTGCATTTTTGGTGTTGTTGAAACTTAACTACTACATTCAAAAATCTGAATACGACTGTTGTTGAGGTCAGACACAACTATTTTACCATCACTAAGAACTGCTGGTAAGGCCGGTTGATTAAACTCTCCCATCCCACTTCCTTTTGTTCCAAACTTAGCAACAAACTTCCCACTCAGATCAAACACCTGAATCCTGTGATTTAATGTATCACAAACCATCAGGTGTCCTTTCTTGTCCATGGACAAGCAGTCAGGGTTGTTAGACTCCCCGTTCTATTTCCCTTCTTCCCAAATTTGAAAAGAAAGTTACCCCTTCTATCAAAGTATTTTACAGAATGATCAGCCCCGTCTGATACTATTAGATAGTTGCCATGTTGAATACAGTGATAGGGTTTAGTGAAAGAACTCTCTGTGCCGAGTTTATTTAAAAACTGTCCAGCAGAAAAGATCTTAATCAATCTGTTTTCCTTATCAGCAACAATAATATTGCCCTCACTGTCGATAGATAAACCAGCAGGAAAGTTAAGTTGGTGATCAAGACTTCCTTTTCCCCAAAGTGGCGAAGATATCCCCCCTGTCTACTTAGCACTTGAACTCTGTGGTTTCCCAGTTCAGCTACAATAATATTGTCACCAATATATGCTGTTCCACAAGGACAGTCAAACTCACCGAAGTTAGTACCCTGTTCACCGGCTAAGGAAATAGAAGCTTATGAAGATGACACAAGGCTCCACTTCGATGTAGAGTCTGACTTTCCAAGGTTTCTTGACTCGGTTCTTAAAAGAACTGACCAGATTTCCCGGACGAAAGTGGATGAGGAAATCGTGGAGCAGCATATTGTTGTTGTCGATCAAACGGTGCGTTTGCTGGGTGTAACGAAAACTAAGACCCTCGAAAACTAAGACCTAAGACCTAAGACCCGTCTTAGTTTTCGAGATTACGAAAACTAAGACCTCCTAAAATCGAATCCGTGAAAATATAAAGTCAAATTGTAACCGGAATAGGTCTGATCTGTCAAATTATATAATGTTCGATCCTTTCCATCGAGTTTTAGGTCAAATTTAACGGCAAATTTAGGGGTCTCAGCTTTCGTAATTTCGAAAACTAAGACCGCTCTTAGTTTTCGTAATTACGAAAACTAAGACCCCCACCAAAACAATCTCTAAAATTTCCACAAAGTCGAATTGCGACCGTTTGAAGACTATAATCCGTAAGACAAACAAAAACTACTATTTTAAGAATTGAATATTAAATGAATTGAATATTGCAGGACTTGCCATACATTGGCCGTATTCACACTAGAGAGGGATTATCCGTCTGAGATTTCCTTACATGTCCTTAAAAAATTAAATGAGAGAAGAAGATTAAGCATATTCCCTTTTGTGATCATTTTGTATTCTCATAACCTGTTCTCTTGATGTATTGAAATTGTGAAAAGAAAATTGATGTTGGTCACTTTTGGGACCTAAGCAGTCAATCCTTTTGCTTAGTGCTGATTACTAAGTTATCTCCTCGCACAAGGTCCTGTGGACACGGGAGTGAATGTTTACGTACAGAGAATTACGATGGGAAAGCTAAGAACTTCCTAGGTCTTCTTATTTTCTGTAAAAAATTCAGGAAGTTTCAAACATGAACAACGTAACCGTGCCAGGTAACGGGAGTTTCTATTGTATGGTATAAAAAACGCATATTTGCCTTGAAGACGCGTGTTCAATTTTGTAACATCGCTGTCCTTGATTTCAGTTATTTCACATGAATTCTCAGTCTTAATTTTCTGTCATGCTGTAATATGTGGTCCTGTGGGAGTAGTTAGCTTTTTGTATCAGGAAACATTGAGATTCAAGGAATAACGGTTTCCTAATTAAGGGACTAGTTGTCCGTTTCTCAAAAGTCCTGGTAGCTTTTTGGGCCTGAAATCAAATATTCAATTCAAAGTCTTTGAAAAGAACGAAAGTGCAGGTCCTAGCTTACAAACTGCAGAAACCACTCCATTTTCTTTTTGTTAACTGATAGTTTTATCATATTATCTGCATAACTATTGAAACCTTTATGTTAAATTTTAAACAACAACAACAGGTTTCTGGACCGCATTAATTATCGGGACTTTCAAGAACGGGTTCCAGATTAGTGCTTTGTCATGGAGCAACAGGAAAATAAACAAACAAACAAACAGCAATTTTGACAGATTCCTATCCGTGCACAAAAAACACTAAACAAATTGCTAAATTGCATCTTATATTATATACTGGTTATCGTTGAACTTGGTGGCTACATTAACATTTATCGTCTATTTAACGCCTGCGTCGCAAATGGAGGTTGGATGCCCATATGCCAGGGGGCTGCAACCGCAATACACCCCAAGGCCGAAGAACACCCACAGGCCTACCAACCCGCAACCCAGCCACGAGCCCCCCCGCGCCCAGCCCTTCCACTGTAGCACCCGTCACACTGAGGCCAGAAGCCCGGTGGAAGTAAAATGAACCAACCCCTGAAAGAATAAATAACTAACTAAATAAATAAGAAACAAAGCGGAGGGAGGGAGGGGAACCAAGAGAAACGCTACGCTACTGGAACGCCACGCCACGCTAACAAAGCTTCGAGTACAACGCAAACACAACGTAGGCACGTGGCCTCCGCATGCGCCAAAGCAACATACCGCTGGACAGGAATCTGCCCCCATGCTCACGAACAAAGGTAAACGCTACAAACGCAAACATAATCACGCACAACGCTGCAGACGACCAACGCGCTACCAAAGAATGCCCAAAACACCCAAGACCATAGCTCCTAGTCGTTAACTACATTAAATATGATTTAATAGTATTTAACAATTAATGAATGAGGCTGAGTATCTTATGAAGAATTATAGAGATCGATGAGGGTGTTATCCGTCGAGGCCGCAGGCCGAGGCGGATAACACCCTCCTTCTTACTCTACACTCACAACAGATCAAAGGACACAGGCCACTTTAATGCAAAATCTTGTCGAAAATGTACACACAGTGAGAGAGGAGGAAGCCACTTGGAGTGGACGGCTTCCCTGTGCATTTTTTCAGTCCCTGCCCTCTGGAATTCCTCTCCCACATCCCATCATAATGATGCAATATACACTGTATGTTGCAGATAGTCTGGCTGGCAATGAAACCCATACTTTGTGGGTCTTAATTTTTGTTAAAACTACCGGTGGCAGTGTTGCTGTTAGTAGTAAGCCAGGCTACACTAGGTCCTAACCAATCAGAGCGCAGCAAAGACAATAGAAGTATTGTTTAAGAGGGTCACGTGAGTCATTAGCATAGTCATTTGCATAAAGTGGTTCACGTGACCTCTCATAGATAGATTCGAAAAAACAGGGTGTTGAATAGAACCTCGAACGGAGGCAGCTCCCCCCAAAGTGTTCCCAGATCCCTCGCATGGGAAAGGAGGATGGATGACGTCACAGGAAGTAACATGACGGTGAAACCGGAAGTCAATAAAAACACACTGTATGGAGGTCAAAATCATCCATCCACATCATTTAATGCAAAGCAAATCTCGAGAGTGCCCTAAATTACATCCGGGACGTGTGTGACGTCCGAGTGACGTCACGCCCTTTTTACAAATCTAATAGGAGGTCGAGTTCATCCCCAATCCTCTCGTAACCATAAAGATAGCTCGACCGGGTGGTCACATCGATGACGCGCTTGTCAAACACCAACCCTTACTGCTTCAAGCGCGGAACCACTTGAATTTGTTTCTTTTCTAGATCCCTGTGAAAATGATAGGGGGTGACTAGGTTCAAATTTCGGCGAGAGTCCTGAGGCGAGTCTAATTCCGAGAGAATATTGTCTTTCATCGTGTGAAAATTGAGAATGGCGGAGCCGCGGACGTTCAAAGTGAAACCGCGTACCTTGCACACCACGTTGCCCTGTCGTGTCGTGTACCCATAATTCTTAGCACCCCCAGAAACAAACTCGGTGATGACGTCCCCATCTAATTCGTCGGTCATGTCCCCCAGAAAATCGCCCGTGGCGATGGAGGGTTGACCCGGACGCCATCGGTAGATCACACTGTCCGTATCGTAGTAAAGGACTTGCTGTTGAAGGATGTCCAGGGATTCGTAGAGTTTCAACCGGGCGTGACAGGTGGTGAAAGCCGCCACAAAGATATTGGTCTTGGTGCCTTTGACGGCATTGTCTTGGACACTGGTGTAGACAGCCTCTAGGATGTCGTCGGTACAGAGGCGGAGAGTGCTGATATCGAGAGCAGCATCGGAGATGAGTCTGAACAATTGGGCGGGGGTTTGGACAGTGACGGTGGTGGGCCTGTTGATACGCTCACCAAACTTACCCCAGAAACTGTTCAACATCAGTTTGGCCGTGGCCTTGCGACCGGGATTTTTGGCAATGCTGGCGATGTCCAGTCGGATGCCCTCCCGTTCCTGGTAGCGAAGAATATAGTCTCGTTTCTGCTCGAGGGTCTGACACCAGCTGGGCCACCCCGCAGATTCTTGTTTCAACTTCAACGAAGTGTTGACGTAATTGGCGAAAAGACCCGTTTGGCGTTGCTCGGGGGGAAAATGCCAGACTTCGCGGATCTTGATGAGGGTGTACCCCTTTTCGACGGCTTTAACCAGCTCGGGCGTGCACCAGGTCCCGCGTAGCATGCGATCGGCGTCCGAATGAGGGCAATAGTGGGTTCTGGTCAACATGGGTTGGGCTTGCTCCGCCTGGACACAGGCACGGCAGAGAGGAAAGGTGAGTTTTTGGCCACAGTGCACAGGCAAGACGGGGTGGAATAGGCCAGCCGGGGAAAGAATGTCCACGGTCGCCAGACCAAAATACGAATCCAGGGACTGGTCTGCAGGTTGGGTGATGCTCCGTGGATGACCAATGGGGTAAGGGCAGTTCTTGTTCACCCACGGGTACAGGGAGGTCACATCCACATAGCGTATCTCCTCACCCTCCCCAGCCACCGCATGCAGGGCCACCGCGCCGGTGCGACCCCCAAAAAAGGCCTCGCGAGGTTCCAGGGGTGGGGGGAGATCGAACGACTTCAGGAAACGTTGGACGGCTTCATCGGTGAGCACCAAATTATCCCATTCACACTCCCACATTTCTAGGACGGTATAACCCGCACGGAGCAGAGCCATGCGTTTAGAGAGCGTGGCCTGATACAGATCTTCGACGCTTCGGTCCGGCACCGCATAATGCTTGACGGATCGGTTGGGATAGCAGCGGGGACAGCCATGGTAGAGACAGCCATGAAACTCGTAGACAGTGCGGGTCAGAGGATCGTACCCATCGACGAAATAACTGTTCACGATGGTTCGGACGGACTGTTCGCCCCCGTTACGGACGTGTCGAATGCGTTCGGCACAGGCCCCCTGCTTGGGAAGGAGGTGTTCTTGGTAATAGAGCCATTGCAGGGCCTTGAGGGATTGGTTGACTTGGGCCCCTCGCCAACCCCCCAGAGGTTCGACGGCAATGGTGTCGGGGGTCAAATGGTGCTTGCGCCAATACAGATTGCAGGCACTGGCGATGGTGATGCATTTGGCCATGGGATTGAAACCAGCCTGCCGTTCGAATTCTTGTTGAAAGGCTTCACACCCCGCTTTCAACAGAGCCACATCCGATTTGCAGTACTCGATCATTTCTTACTGGAAATCAAAGGTCACATTGCGACGGACTTGATCCGCGTGCCAACGAGTCAGTTCGTCTTTCTTTCTGGCCATCATACCCTCGGGATCGTGAAATTCCAAATCAGGGATCCGACCCACGTACTGTTGGTGATCGGGGGTGTTGAACAAATGAGGAAAGAATCCCTTCTTTAATTCGGTCAAATTGAAGGTGCTAGGAAAAGAGGCGAGCGGCATGGGCAAGGAACACAACGAGTCAATGAATTTGAGGGGTCCGCTCTTGAAAGACAAGACTTTAGCGCCCACGGTCAGTTGATCCACCACCTCGCGTTGTTGCTGGTACAGTTCATGGAGAATAAACATGCCGTCGAAGCCTTTCAAATTGTGAAACACCACGAGAATCTCCCGCTCCTCCTCATTGTCCGGCACACGAACCAGGTTATCCAAATCGCGCAAAAATTGTAGGGCACAGTCCTCCCCGTCCAACACATGAATAGTGGTTTCTTCGCTGGACGAATAACACAACAAATTAGCCACAAACACCCCTTCTGCATTCTGCATGGCTTCAAAATCCGCATAAACAAACAGGGGAGGGGGTGGCGCCACCATGCAACCTCCCCCCTCCTTGGTTGGTTCTGGCTCCTCGTCCTCCATCACGGGTTGAATGTAACACTTGTGGTCCTGGATGGGCACCCATGCTCGACACACGGGACACTTGGCGTGCCCACACTGGTGACGTTTGTTATGGACGACCGTGTACTGGGCCTGGCACTTGAGACAGGTTTTGATCGACTGACATTGCTTGGTGACTTCATGATGACGTTTGCAATACCCGCCGTAAAACTTGCAGTGACACAGACTGCAATACTCCGTGGGGCGGGTACCGCACACATAATCCTGACAATCAAATCGACTACACGCGGAGCAGCGTCTCCCTTGACAGGTATGATTGGTTCGGTCGTTGGTGTTGAACCCCCGTTCACAGTCCAGACAATAATAGGAGCGGTTCACAAAAGCAGGAAAGGACGTGCAGCCATCAAAATGATCATTGGATTTCAGTAAACGAATCTGATGAGGGGCGGCGGGGCCTTTGAAGATCAGAAAGAACGGTTTCATCCGGGTCATCACCAAGAGTTGATATGAGACCCCAACGCCTGTTGAAATTGGCGAAGTTCTGGCAAACCACAGGGACCCTCAGCCACCCCTGCTTGCCGATGTAATTCTTGGGCTTGACGTTGCTGCACAGGACGCCCACGCTTGAGATTCTCCCAGTCGCGAAACCCGTCCACGCCTTGATCTTTATGGCAATGGGCTCGCATGGTGACGATAGCGCGGGCACAACATAAGGCATCTCTGTTTCGGATGGGGATGATGCATTGTTTTTTCTTGTTCTCTCGATCCAGACACAGTCGACCAGGATTGCGTTGTTTATGTCGACCGGACCCTGGGCCGGGCATGGAGACAAACACCACATCCACTTGGAAACCGCGATCAGGGTTGAAGGCTTCATTGCTGTTTAATTTACCAGCCAAGGTGGCCAACATCTCATCCAAACGAGCAATGCGCTGTAAAAATTCCCCCACGGTGAAATTAGCTGTTTGGTAGGCGTGAGTGAATCCATGAGCCGTGATGGCAAAATTCACAAAATGATAAGCGGGTCGCTGCTCGCGGTCCAGTTCCGTTTCAATGGCTTGGTGTAACGCTTCGGTCAAAGCCATGCCAATGTTATCCCCAGGGACAGGATCCCGCAATTGCCGTAACTGCGCATTGAATTGCGCGCGTTCCACCACCTCGCGCCAGTGGCGTCGTCGGCCAATGGGTTGCATGGTGAATTGAAAGAGAGGGCCTCGGGCGGAGCCGCCTCCCAATTGTTCCCACCGGTCAAACGCTCGGTCAAACAGGGCATCCTCGTCATCGTCTTCGTCACTAAAGTGATACAAGAGGTCGTCCGCCATGACAGAGGAAACAATTTGAATTTTTCCGCGCCAGATGCTGGCTTTTATAGACTGAAAACCACGTGATGTCACATGAGCGTCAGGAGATTGGTGGAAGGGACTCAGATGATATCACATGAGCGTCAGGAGAATGGTAGAAAGGACTCAGGTGATGGTCAGGTGAGGGGTTTTTGTAGACCAACAAAACACGTGATGTCACATGATCGTCAGGTGAGGGTCCGATGATGGTCAGGTGAGGGGTTTGATCGACAGGAGGAAGATCAGGGGTGGTCCCCCCCATGGGTACAGACTCCTTCGGTCTCCTCTGGGCCTGGACCGAGATCAGTGATTGGCGGAGTTTACCCTAGATATTAGTTCAGCGTCCAGGACAGACGTCAGTTGTGTTCGAGATGCCCAACAAAAATCCCGAGAAGGCGAAACAGCTAAAGCACGAGGGGTATATGAAAAACAGAGAGAGACTATTGCAACAGAAGCGTGAACGGCGGGCGGCCAAAAAGAAGCTCAAACCACCACGTCCACCCAAACCAGCCCCCACCCCCGAACAGAAAGCCAAAGCCCGAGAGGCGAACCGACTGGCCTGTCACCGATACCGAGCGACCCACGCGGCCCAAGTACGCAGCCTGAATCGGGACTATTACCACAGGAACCGCGATCGAATTGTGCAGCAGTAGCGGGACCGTCGTGCCAGGGTGCATCAGAACCACCCGTTCCGAAAGTTACGGGCGTTAGCAGACGTGTGTGCCGCCCGATTGCTTGAAGTGGAGCATGGATACGCCAGGATCGAGCCAGCCGCCCAAAAAGAGGGACCCCGAGAAAAATAAACTGAACCAAAAACTGTATCGGCAGCGACAATATGCGTCCTTCAACGGGATCGAGGAGGTGAAGGCCCTCAACCGTCGTCGTTACAACGAACGCATGGCGCGAATGAAAGCCAACGGGGAGTACGAGGCCTTCAAGGCCAAAAAGGTCCAGGAGGGCATGCGACGCTACCATGCCATGTCAGAGGAAAAACGCAATGAGGTGAAACGCAAGAACGCGCAATGTCAAAAGAACTGGATGCAGAAAATGAAGGAGGAGGGGACCTACGAGGCCTACAAACATCGGTTGAATGTGCGGCGGAGGGCGTTGCAGGCGGAGAAAAAGCGAGCCTTGGGCGACGAGGGGTGGAAAGCCTTGCAGAAACAAAAATATGAGAAGCGGGTGGAATCGATTCGGCGTCAACGATGGCAATGGTAGGACGAGCAATTAGACCGTCCCTTTCCCCTCCCGTGGTTGCCGTTAGATTGGGCTGAGTCCGAGCCTGAGGAGGATACAGTACAAACTGTTCGTGCCAATGCGTTACAACAAATGGACCACTACTTGTAAGAACAAAAATGAGTTTATTGAAACAGGTGTCGTTGCAATTCAACCATATTGTCTTTTATAACTGTGTTAATCATAAGGGGACTTGGTTCACATGCCCAATCGAAGTTTGGTTTTCATGATGCGTCTGACAATGCGCTCCGTCAGGGTTTTGCGGCCAGGGAGTTGATCAATCTTGGCAATCATCTTGCGATCCGCCACCCATTCATCTTTCAACGTCTTGGCTTTATCATAGTCCATGTCATGCACTTTAGCAATCCTGTCTAACCGGTTGATGCCGGGATCCCCACGGGCCAATCTTTTTTTCAAATGGGTCCCAGGTCCCATATACTGATAGCCGGGCCAATGAAATTCAATGCCCGTCTTGTTGAGGAGGTTTTGCACATCAAATAACTTGCCCCCGCGTTGCGATCGTCGTCGCCTCGGTCGGGCACGGGGCGCAGCAGCACGGCGTCTCCGGGTCCGTCCCATCACGGGGTTTTCCACGTTTTCCAATCCAACGCTTTCTTGGCCAGACCTGCGGCTTTCTTTTTGGCTACACCGGCGGCTTTTTTGCCAATCCCGTGCTTGACCGCTTTCTTGATGGAGTCCACACGTTCACTGGGGGTATCCCAGGGTTCTGTTCCAGGCTCCTCTGAAAAGGGCAACTCGTGTGCCAACTCGGCGCTGCTCACCTGGGGCGTAAACTTGAGTTTCTTTTTGGCACTGGGGGTGATGTTCGGTTTGGGCGGGACAGGTGGTTTTCTGGGCCCACCAGGCGTGGACCCTTGTTTTATACCCTGGGTCGCCTTGACCAATTGCGTAAACCACGCCTGCATAGGGCCCGCCTCAAAGTCATCGTCGCCAGGGGTCGTGGCCCCTGTCGCGCTCACACCACCGGCCGGGGCCCCAAACGGTTGGCGAACTTTTTTGGTCCAATGGCGTAATTGACGGCTCACGGCTTTGAGTTGAGGCCGTTTCCAGGCATCGGGGGCATCACTTGTCAGGAGCACATGTTGTTTGGCGGCCAAATCGGCGGCTTTGGTCAAGCGGGTATCTTCCACCAATTCTTGTTGTACTTGTCTCTTAATTGTAAAAAAGCAGGGGCGTTGTCCACCGTGGTGCTCACCATCTCGGGTTCGATGGTGCAACTGAGGTGTCTTGTCTAGCGCATGCAACGTTTATAACATCGGTAGAGTTCAGGCCAGAGGGCACCGCCTTTTTGAGCCATCATGATGGCGCGTCGTCGTTTCACAGAATGCGCGGGTTTGGCCATGGCGCGTAAACTCTGGGCGTGGGGTTTGAGCAACGTGATGGTGTGTCGGGAACGCGGGACGGTGCCACGGAGGGTGTTCATCACCAATTCACTAATCGCATTGATCTGATCCGCATTCGCCATCCGCAACAATTCTTGTCGCTTGTGTTGATTGGCTTCTTGTAAGACGCTTTAAGAACGGGGCTTGACGTTCCATGCGCCACTACATGATGAATCTTGAGTTCAGGCAAGGACCAAGGTCTATTTATGGTAAAAATGGCTCCACACCTGCCACACAATTCGCCATGATAATGCCTTTGCATGTGATCTCGACACCGTAAACACAGGGCCGCGTCATACGTTCGTCCCAGTCCAAAGCAAACGTGACGGCTTTTCTTTTCTTGGGAGTGGTCACTTTAGCGTCGGGGTACCCGCCGTGGGCGTTTCTTCTTCTTCTTGAACGCCCAAGGCGAGAGAGCCACTGCCAACATGGGGAGCACGCCTCCACGTTGCAATCCACGTCGACGGCGTCGTATTTGGGTGACATAACGATGTCGGCGTCCTTGGGTCCACGGACCATCGTCCAACTAACTCCTGTTCAGGCCCACGAAGGTCTTTTTATACGTTTTCACATGATCGAACAATTAAACGATTCCCCCGCATAGCGTTTCCGTTTGCCTGATTCCACTTCTCGTCGGCGTTTTTCGCCAATTTTGATGGCACGTTTGGTTTGATGATCCCCTATGGCTTTGGTGATCCCATAGCCGGCTTTGAAGAATCCCGATAGGCAGGCCGGGCCCGACACACCCCACTTGACTGTAGGTCATACGCCGTGGTCGTTTGGCGGGGGTCGACGTCGGGTCGTGGTGCGTTTGCGTTTACGCCTAGGGGCCATAGCAGTTCGACATCGGCCACACATGGTTCTGGGACGGTAGAAGGAAGGACCCTGTTTTTATATCTTTTTTTCACATTCACGCGCGTCGACCCCGTCCACGGGCTCGGGCTCGGCCACGGCCACGGCCACGTCCTCGGCGGGGTGGCGGTGGTGGACTTGGACTGGAGGTTCGGGTGGAGGTGCGGTGCACGGAAGGACGGCCTCCCCCATCTTCGTACACCGTGGTGACTGTATTGGTATGCGTGATATTGCGAATGCGCCTCCCTCGAGCACGTTGTTGAGCATCTTCATTGAGCAAATCCAACCGTCGCCTTAATCCCCGCCGTCGATCGTCCTCGTCCTCATCGCCATCGTCGTCTTCCGACGGAGGAGGGGAAGAATCCGGCGATGGGGGAGAGGGCACTCGGGGGCGTCGTCGCGGTTGTTTGGCCGCGATGGTGGGACGTCCTGTAGGGGTCGTCACCGTGGAGGTCCTGGTCCTGGTCCCTGCCCCGGCGCTGCGGCGGGCGGTGGAGGGGCGTGAAGGAGCAGTGGTGGTCGTGGCGGTGGTGACAGGACGTGGTCTGGGTCGTCTGGAGCTGGTGGTGGTGGTGGTGGTGGGGCGTGTTCGGGTGGACGTGGTGGGACGGGTTTGGGTCGCCGTGGTGGTGGCCGGGGCGGTGCCTGTGCCTGCCACGGGCGGTAGCGTAAACGCATTCAAGGCATCGTCCACATTGACCGTGTAGGTCAGGTGAAAATCCGCAATCTCTTGATCCAATTGGGCTCGATCGACCGGTCGGGTCAATTCGGTCACCATGTCCGTCATGCTGCTGAGGTCCTGGAGGGGAGGAGGTGCCGTGGGGGAGCCCACTCCGGCGGGCGAGAGGGTCGGGGTTTCCATGCGGACCGATAAGTCAAGTTGTTGTCCGCCTTCTCTTTGCCGCCGTTGACGTTCGCTTTCTCGTTGCAGCGCGTTTTCGAACGGCAGGGACATCCACGGGGAGGGTATGGACTTGCGCCTTGCCTTCTCGGGGCGTTAAATGACTCCACAATCGGTAACGATCATCCGACGCCGGATGCACATCCAACATCAAATAGCCAAAGGGAAGGGACGTGATGCGTTTAAATAGGCGCAAGACTTGACGCCATCGGTCGGGAAAGGCTTGCAGTAAAATGGTCCGTATGCCCGTTTGATCCCGGGGATTCTTGAATGCCACAATGTAATGCGCGTTGCGATTGATGGTCTTGGAAAATTTGCCAGGCGGGAATAAATCTTACGTCAAATACAAGACGGTGATGTTGCGATGATGGGAATCTTTGGTGAACAAATCCAACACGCGATTGTCCTGCCCCCTTCTTCCATCAGATCGTCCAAGACCAGCACCCCTCCGCGCGTCCGACCAAACCATTGCGTCAAATGACGGGGGTCTGGTAACCCGCGATGAAACTGAATCCCATCCTTCTTTTGCATACGGTCGAACCGGGGTTGCCATCGGTCGTACGCATAGACGATCTTGTTGGGTTTGACTTGAAACACGTTGAGGTACCGTAACCATTGTTCCACTAACTCGCTCTTGCCGCTGCCCGACGGGCCAGCCACAATCACACTACTGGGGTGTCGGAACATCCTTCCCACGGTCGAGGCGGACGACGGTAATGACCCGTGGCCCCTTTGGCTCCAATTCGTTTATACCGTTTGCTACGTCCCAATTTATAACCGATTTTGGCCGCTTTGGCCAACACGCTCATGATGCCCCGCCCGTTTTGACGAAAGCGGGGTCGTCGGGAGGAGGCGCGTCGTCGTCGTCTTGGTCTGCGACTGGGCATGCCGTCCAATACTCGCGGTATAATCGTGGCGACTCGAACTGAATGAGATGTTCCATGGTCTCTCTTAAATGCGTTTCACTCATGGTGTCCATGTAGTGTTTGAGGGAGACCCAGTCCTGGTCTTGGGCCAGTTGTCGGGCCAACAACCTATGATACCCATCCCAGGCATCGACGCCTTGGACTTTGTTCACCCGTTCGATGGGGTGTAACCACCAATACAAGGTTTCTTCTACTAGGAACGCATCCACCACGCGCTGTACATCGCCTCGCGTAATCATGATGAGACAAATGACTTCTCCATCACAACACGCCTCGTTTTTATGGGTTTTTTATTTGACATAATGGTCACAGTGATTACAAAGCATAAAGGCCTGGCGGCTCACATTCTTTTGCCCGTCGGGTCGGGCATCGACTTCATCTTGTAATTCTTGTTTAATCACGCGTTTCAACTGTTCGGCCACTTTATGATCATTCAACACTTAGTTGTCGCAACTCCATTGACCCAAAAATTCTTGATACGATTGTCCTTGGGCTCGGGCTTTCAGGAAAAATAAAGCATAATGGCCACAGGTCTGACTATCCATGGCTTGCAGGGTCATGTCACTGCGGATCAGGTGCTTCCATTGACCCTACCATTGGTGCAGGTCAGGGTTGGTTTACACATGCAGGGGTAGACCATAACTGTCAAAGACCTCGCACTTGTTCTGTTCCGTCCACAGTCCCAACCAATGTTGTCCCGGTTCTCCCGCAGGATCGGTGTTGACAATGTAGGCTGCACGGACGGGCGTGGGGGGTGAACGGGGTAACTGGTCGGCAGGGAACACGCCGTGAAACACGCCTCGCAAGGCGGGATCCTCCAGGGCCAAGGTCCGCAACACAGCATCACTGAGCGCCACAAACTCCATGACCGGCGTCTTCTGACATCTGAGGCTACATCAGCCGTTGATGTTGTACTTTATACCTCCCAGATGATTGATCTCATACATGTTTTCATACTCGCTCCATACCAACACGGTGATGTTGTGATTGACAGCGGCAGCAAAATCAATGATCAGTCGCACATTGCCCGATTGACGGGGGTTGCGATACTGGGAGTCATCTGCTTTTCCACTGGGTACATTGTTGAGCATGAACAACGTGCAGTTGTTGCCTTGTCCCCAATCACCTGGCAGCAGCATGGGAATCTTGTCTTCATTGTAGGCACCCATGGCTTGTAGAAATCGATCGTACCCCAGTAGATCTTCATAGGCTTCTGCTCCAGTTAGTTGCAGGGTTCTGTAAGGGTATTCTTCTCCATTCAAGGTCTGACGTATTTGAGTGACTCCAAACTTTTCAAAGGCATAAGGGTGTCTTTGTAGGTCTCCATTGAAGGTATTGGAATGCAGTAACCCGACCATCACTCTGTCAGGAAATCGACCCACAAACACATTGTCTTGTTCCCACTGGGTGGTTTCTTCCATCGAGGGAAAAAGTGCGGATTTCGCTCCGCACCACTGGGTAGCGGGCAATCTGTTTGCCCAGTTGTCTTTCTTTCTGCAGTCTGACATAGACGCTGGCATTCAAGGTCACTTTTCTCATCAGCAACGTGACTTTGATGTCTTCCTGGTGAATGGCTGGAAATTTTTTGGCGTTCAAGGTTCCTTTGTTAGGGGTGCCCATCAAGTAGACTGAGTTGGGGTTGAGGAATAGTTCAAAGTCCATCTGGACATTGGGGACCAACAATTTGCCTGTTCTGAGGGGTGGCAAATGGGGGCGGATGATGAAGGTGTGCCAATGCTTCTCTAGCAACCGGCTGGTCAAGGCTCGCAATTCTGTATTCCCACTCCAATCAGCGCCCGTGGGGGTATCGGAATTGGCTCCTGTGGCTCCCATTTCTGCAATCACATTGAGCTGATTGACCCATCCTTGAGGGGCTAACTTGGTGGCTCCTTCGTCTCGGCTGTAATTCAGGAGGGTTTCTAGGTAGGCTCTGTAATGGTAGGTGTTGCTCTGTTCGGTCATGAGGACTCCATTCATGCTCAGGGTGATATCTCGAAAGATGGAGTGACCGAAATTGTTGACGCAGTAGGTGTTCCTGGTATTGTTGGCATCGGAGTTGGCCAGATTGGCTTGCAATCCTTCATACCCAGCCGCTGGATCGGTCAGGCGTACTTTGACTTTGAATCGGAGGGAATTGGGATCGTAATAATCGTCGGAGCCCGGAATGGAGAACGTGATGGGCTGGATGCCCGTCAAGGCGGGTTGAAACTCCACCTCCCGAGAGGCTTCGTACCGATAATCCACATCGGGCACGTCAAACAGTTGGAGCGACATGGTGCGGACTGTCCATGTGGTTTAACGTCGCCCCCTTTTTATACCCTTTCGCAGTCGTTGCTGTAGCCAGCGTTGCCTCCTGGCTTTTTCTTGGTTGGCCCACAAAACCTGCCTGGGATCCCCCATGCGCATGCGAGTGGACAGGCCAAAATTCGTGCCCCCTTTCATCTGGCGGCGTTGGCGTTGTGTCATCCTCCAGGGCTCCAATAGGCGAGAGGAGGTGTGCATCAAGGGATAGCGCGCCATGGTGGACTTGCCAAAGATCGTGCCCCCTATTTGGTACGGCGAGATGAACCGTCCACGGGCGCGTTGCCGTCGAATGCGATTTTGCGTTTTGAGAAAGCCACCCACGCGTACCATATTGTTTTCACAGTCCAAAGATGTCCCGTACGCGTTGCGTGGCTCTTTTATAGGTATTTTGGGCGGTGCGTTTGGCTTTGTGTTTGCCCATCGTCCAGGCCATCGCGGGGGCTTTACGTTTCAACCCGCGGGTGAGTTGCGCACTTCGATCAGCCCACGTCTCCGCTGCACTCTTTCCTCGTTGGATATCTTGCAGTCCCGCTTGGGCTTGCTGCACGATCAGGGGTTCCGCGAGTTTGATCAAGTCTTCGGCCAACCCTTTGCCCTCTTGCTGGGTGAGCACGGGCGTGTGGTATCGCGTTAAACTGCCTCCGCGCATGTCGGTTCACGTCGAGGTGCTTTTAGACCCTCGTGAGGCGTGGGTGGCTTTTTATAGCTGTTTGAGACCGATGGTGACTAGGGTTTTGCCAGGGGATAAGATGGCCAGGGGTCCACTGGTACTCGCAATCTCCACTTCCAAGATCTCCAATTGATTGCCTCGCACTTTGATCCATTGATGGTGTAGGGGTTCCACCTTACTTTCACCCTCGCCGGTTCTCAATAGTTGTACTTCCCGTAACAGGGGAAACTTGCCACTCCCCACCACGGAGGATTCCACTAGATCCGAATAGACCATGACGGTGCGTTTGCGGGTCCCCACAAACTTTTCAAACGAGGCATTCAGGTTGTTCAACTGCCACTCAAACATCAAATGCAATTTCAAATACTTCACCTTGTCTAGGGTCACCACTGTAAAGGGGGTGCTGACGTAATTGACGCCCACGTACTGCTCGCCCTCCCAGTTGTAATACGTACGAAATGGATCCCCCGTGGGCATAGTGTGACGATCGTAGGTGACCTTCGGCAGCGTATATTGCAGGTTGGACCCCATGACATACGTCGTCGTGTTTTGACCGATCTTTTCGACCACAAACCCAAACTTGAGCGCAATGTCCAGGTTGATGAGAAACTCAGCCATGGCGACGTTGTTCACGTTCCACGCATCCTTTTTCGCGAGGGCATGAATCATCAAGGTATCGTCTTTCCATGTCAGTTGGGGCATCGCGTTTTTTTTGACGCTGACCACAGGTCGTTCGCCGCGTCTAGAGACCAACACCGATTGTTGTTTTTTCGCCACAATTTACATGATTTTGTTGTGCACTTCTTGCATCACGCGTTTCCAAAACATACTCCCCGTCGCCACGATTTGATTCGCATTCATGATCTCTTCCAATTCGATTTGGGCGTCAATGGCGGGGGTTTCCACACGTCGATAGCTGTCTAGCTGATACCAGCGGATCACTTCTGTAAATTTGAATCGGATCACCTTGGTATGAGGATCCGTGGCGATGACGGCATTGCTCTGTCCTTGATCCGGCACGGTCAGCGACATCAACGAGGCATGCCAACCCGCGCCCGGTAACGACAGCCGTTCGGGCAGTCGGACCTTGAAACTGTTGTTAGCATTGTTGGGAAACTCGTCGGTCGGATCGCTGATGAGCGTCAGGCGTTTAATCTCACTCATGATGAACCAGATGCTTGTCTGAGCGGGGGCAGGGTCCTTTTATAGCCACTGGTCCACTTTCTGTTTGCTGCGAGGGACGCGTCCCTCCAATGAATTGAAGGTCGATTGTTTGGGATGAAAACATACTTGCTGGGCAATGTTGGGAAAGGCCCGTGCCAATTCCATCAGGGTCATGCAGGTCTTTGGTTTGGGGGATTTCTTTTGGCGCATGGGTGGATGACGACCAGCGCGTCGGCGTTGTTTCTTTTGGGCCGCCGTGTAAGCACGGAGGGCTTGTTGATCAAAAGCGACCCCCGCCATCCTGTTGACTTTGGCTCGTCGTTGGCCGGCGGCTTTCTTGTGGATGAATTTCAGAATGTCTGCGTCGCTGGTGGGAGGGGGTGTGTAACTGGCCGGCGGTCGGCTGGAATCCGCCTGCACCTCATCCAAAAACCGCACCCGCTTTTTTCTTTTTCGAGGCGTTATTTTGACGCGTACCATGTTGCGCGGGAATCCAACTATCGTACTTGGCAGGCCACCCTTTCCACCGGACCAACACCTGGCGTCCTTTGCGTTTCAACACTTTCGACCCGAAATAACGAGTCGTCCGACACTTGCACTTTTTGAACATCAGGTTCGTAAAACGTGCCTTTTATAGGCGTGCCGTCCCATTCACTGAGTCGATAGGTGACGACAGGATGACGACGGACGTGCGTGACCACAAACACTTCTTCCGTCCAACCGGGCAAATACCCTTTTTTGAAGGGACGATGTTTCTTGTTGAGACGCACACGATCGCCCACTCGACATTTGGGAGGTGGGGTCGTTTGGTCCAAACGCGACCCGTAGAGTCTGTCCCACACGTCGGGCACCGTTTAGGGGGTGACTTGATGCGGGGCCATCCCAATGCTGCGATGATGGGTGTGATTGTATGTATGGATCAAGGGTTGTAACACGTCCACGTACCGTAACGTATTGTGGGCGGCGAAATAACGGGTCATGCGTTGTTTCAACGTGCGATGCCATCGTTCCACCACGGAGGCCTTGCTATCCCCATACGTGGAAAAATGATGCGTCCCCTGTTTCTTGAACCAGGTTTGGACCCCTCGATTGTAGAATTCTTTGCCTTGATCCGTCTGCACGGGGAGCGGTCGCCGCGGCGAGGCTTGCTGGTAAATGCGTGTCAACCCTCGGATCATCTCTTGCGTGCGTTTGGATTTGATGGGGACGGCCCAGGCATACTTGGACAGGACGTCGATCACAGTCAACAAATATTTGTGGCCTTGGTTCCATCGACTGAGTTTTTGCATGTCTACCAAATCCATCTGCCATTGTTCGTCTCGGTCAAAGACCAACGTGGGAGCGGTGGGAATCCGCGTCCGTCGGGGTTTGTGGAGGGTATAACTCAACACCGATTGGAGAATCCGTTGCGCTTGCGGGGTTTTCAATTTATGGGTTGGGCAAAGGGTTGGACCCCACCCAAAGCCCCGGGTTCCTGGGGATCTTCGTAAGCGCGTGGCAACGACATCAAGACACTGACACACAATCGTATCCAATCTCTGTCTTTAATAGTTTTTTTCACACACCTACATGATTTTTTTCAAAACAGAACCGAGCTACCAAAGTTCTTATGCAAATGGCGCGTCCTCTCCCGCTCCCTCTCCTTGGCTTTGGCGGCTTCCCCAAACTGATTGAACCACGACCTATTGCTCTCCACAAAGTCCATCTCCACGGGTCTTCCTTCCATCTCTTGGCCTTTTCCCTTCAAAAGGGGGATAGGCTGATACTCCCTGTATTGGATCTCAGGGGGTGTGTCTCTCACCCATCGTCTCAGCGTGGGTTGCGCTTGCTCTCGGGAGCACCATAGCGGGCCATAGAGCCATTGAAAGTAGCCACAGGGGTCTTGTCCTGGGAGAAAGCTCCCACAACTGAAAAACACTTTGTTGTAATTCTTGCTGGTACGACTCAATTTCATCTTGGGGACCAACCCACATTTGCACTTCAGCTCCCCTCGTTGCAATCGGGCACGTACTTGAGGGTGCGTGTCTTCTTTCAATTTCTCCATCATCACTTCCCGAGAATCTTCAAACAAATACACGGGACACCCTTCTTGGGGGCACTTGAACCTCAACTGGCCAAATTGGGTCTGGGGGTTGACACAATGGATGTATTGACGAGGATGAAAGGGGCACGTTTCATACAAGAGATCATTCAACTGGGTCTCCATCTGGTCGAGGTCGTGTTCTTCCCATTCCCCTACTTCCTTGGCAGGATCGGCCTGAAACGTCCCTTCCTCGACGCATTCTTCCTTATAGTCTTTCAGGGTTCCCTCCATCAACTCGTGGACGGAACAGACGGGGAGGGTGTGGGGGGTGTCAGCGGGTCTGCTCGGGGCAAACCGATCAGAGCCATCTCGAGTTCACGGGTGGCTTTCATGTCTGGGGCTGGCACTGGGGCTGGCGCTGGGGCTGGCGCTGGGGCTTCCTCTTCCCCCTTGGGTTTCTTACTACTCACTCGGCGTCGTTTGCGTCCTGAGGGCACCGCAGCATGTTGAGTGGCTTGACGCTCCATGCCTTGGCGGAATGACTCTGGGTGAACGTCTTGCCTGCCTTTTATAGCCCATCCCCCTGTGTCTCGTGATCCTCATAGGATCTTTTTTTCCACCAATCCTGTCTCAGCCCTTAAACTCGTGAGGGTGGTGTGATGGGATGGTCCGCCAATCAGAGCATACGCCTTCCGTTATAAAACAGAGGTGGCACGACGGCCATCTCATTCGTCACAGTGCTCTCCCATCCAAGGTAAGCGATCATGGCGCTCAACGAAGTGGGTCTCTTGGTGTACAGTCAGGGGTCTGCCATGTGGGCTTGGACTCCTTTGTCTCACCTTAAACATTGTGTTTCATTTTTTGACAGAGTATGCCTCTGACTATTTACACGGGGGGTGCTAAAGGCGTGGACACGCATGTGGAACGATTATGTCAGTTGTATGGTCATTCGTGTGTGGTCCTCATCCCACCCTGTCACCCTCGAGCCAGGTCCCTCGCGCTCTTGACGCAGCCCGAGTTGGTCGCAGCCACACCCACAGTCACCCAGGCGGCGTTTCGATTGGGTCGACAAATCCATCATCCCATCAGCCTCCAGTATATACAACGCAATTATCACGTGATCCAGCCGGCGTCCTTAGTCTTGGCGGTGGGCTATTTTGACGAGTTACGCAAGCATGTGTTGGGTGGGACAGGATGGAGTGTGGTCATGGCCCAGCTCTTAGGTAAACCCCTCTATGTCTTTGATTTGGATATGGAACAATGGTCTTGGTGGAATCCCACCTCCCAACACTATCAACCCTGTGAAGGCATGACCGAGGAACACATCGCTCTACCCACCCTCCAAGACAAAACCGCCATTGTAGGCACGCGTGAAGAAGACCAAGCGGTCTATCCCACCCTGGAAGCTTTATTCAAAAACAAATAAGAAACACTGCTATAGAACACATCACTTGTTTTATTGTATATCAATGACAATAAATTGCATGGCTGACATGACATTCATGATCAAGTCCAAGCGTTTCATGACTTTGTCAATGGTATCGTACGAGGCCTTTCTCCTGCCAATCATGACGGGGCGTTTTCCAGTGGGACACTGGGGGAGCCGATGCTTGAACGTGTCAATGACAAACGCAATGCCCTCATTCATCAGGTTGTCGAGATTGGGGGGCTGACGCGCCATTTCCACCATCATGCCAATCTGAAACCCAGAAACAAAGACGCTCAGCCAACAAACAAAACAAAACAAACAAAAAACATCCTTCCCTTACCGATAACCGGTGATCCATGAGGCGGTGGCAGTGGTGACAGCCATTTTTCCGGGGCGCATGCAAACGAACCACCACTTGGTTCCACCAACGGTCCTCGCCCAGGTGTTGAGGGAAGCCTGTCAGGTCGCATTTGGGTAACCCCTTCAACTCTCGCACCACCTTCTTTCGCTTATCCATGGTGTAGAAACAGTGCACCCAAAACATAATCTTGACTTGGACCTCCAAGGGGAGCAAACGGCCAAACGGCTTGTCTTCGGGGTCGACCAACCCTCGGCAGTCCATCTTGACAGAGCAAAACTAGGCGACTGACGTCTCCCCTTGACATCCCCTTATTAATCCTCTGGTGTCCACCAATCCCCGCCTCGCGCCAGGCCTTGGGGTCCAGGGATGAAAAAGTGTACCCATGGGGGGCACCCCCTAGAGTCTCCTCTCGTGTTCAGAATCCCCCACGTGATGGCTCTCCACCAACCAGATCCGCTAGTGGATTCTCTAAATCACGTTGCGCGCTCAGTGTGGGCTCATTCCAGTTTGTTCAGTGTTGCTGATCAAGATGGTGAACTCGCTGCAGTCGATTGTCCTGTATTCCGTACCTATTGCGATGCTGTTTGATTTGTTAAAGACCCTGTGGCACCTGCCTATGAGACAGGATTGTCTGCGCGCCCTATTCAGAAGATACACTCACGAAGAGCTGAGGGATTGGGCCAAAACGTTGCCGTGGGACCACCCTGTCGCCCGGAAACTGGATC